TTAAATTGTATTTAGAAAATTTAATAGAATATTTTTTATTTTTTTTTTTTAATTATAATAACAAATAATTTTAATAATATTTTACAATAGTATAAAAATTTATTGTTCAAATTTCATTGATAAAATTTCATCGTACTTGTAATGGTATCGCATAATTTAAAAACGTGTGAATATACTTGGATGTATAATGATGAGAATTAAAGGTAACTCTAAATTTTAATTGTACTTTTTTTTGAGAAAATTACAGGAAACCAATTAAATATTTTACATAAAGGAAATTCGTTATCTTGTGAGAAAACTTTTTAGAAGCAAGCTCTTGAAATCTCGAATATATGTTATATGTATTCAATATACGTAACGAAGCATAAAATATTGAGAAAACGTATTAAATTTAAATATATACATACATATTTTTTTATTTATTTATTCATTAATATTTAAAATCAATTTATTTTTTCGATTTTTAGTTCAGAAGTTTAGTTCATTCTGATCAGTTCCAGAAGTGTTAAGACACGTTCTGTATAACAATTCTAATTTTAAAAATAGATGAAACACAATATAGAGATTATGCTTTCAATTAAGAATAACTTTTTAAAATTGAATTGTCAGAATAGAATACGAGCTTAGTGAAATCTGAAAATGTTTCCCAAACGCATAAAGCATAAATCTGAGTGTGCAGTTATTGTAAAGAAAAGCACGAATTTTTAGTTCTGAACGCTCTGAACTAAAACACAAAACAAAACCGTAAACTGCTCTAAAAAATTCATGTTATATTTACATGTCTAATATTGTCACTACAAATAATTTTCTAAAATATTATCGAATTTAATTTTAAAAAATCCTATTTTTTTCTTTAATTTATATTAACTGGAATTAAAAACAATATGCAAATTTGTTTAATGATTTCTATATAAATTCTGAAAATAATTTGACATCATTCCGCCCTCTCTATCAATATTGTCTCGAATTAAAACGATTTCTTCTTGTTTATATGACGCTTTAGAAATTTTAAACTTTTAACATTGTCTATACTTTTTTTTATTACGTAAAAATTTTATTAAATTTCCCAGAAACCTTTAATTATATATCGTAAATTTGTAAAACCTATTTTCCACATTACAAAATCCACCCATATTTAACATTAATTGGAATCAATTAATCAATTCATTAAAAAAATAATATAAAAACAAAAAAAAATAAAGTAAAAAAAAATATCTGTTACTGTCAATTAAGGACACAATTTGACAACAAAAAAAATTTTTTTTTTTATTTTTATATTATGCTATTATTTTTATTATTGGGTTTTTTGTTCAAGGACTAATTATTGTTAATGTTTATATCACAACGCCTAGAAGTATACCATTATTTTTTTATAATAAAAATAAAATAATAAAGGAGAATATTTTGAACGTTTTGTTTTTTTTTGTTTTTGTTGTTCGATGCACTCTTATTTTGTTACTCATAGTAACAAATAGTCTTTTTCTTATCCCAATTACATACACATACACCTACACATTCCAACGCACAAATATACGCATATAAAATTTCTTTAAAAAATTATTTTCAAAGTTCGGTTGCCACTTTTTTTTTATTTTTCTGCCGTTTCATTTTACTTATTTACTTGGTGTTTTTTGTTGTTTGTTATTACGGTTGTTGTTCATCGTTTGTCGGCATATTGTAATGTCTAGACATTTATTAGGACACAAAAAATAATAACATGAAAATCAAAAAAAAATCTGAATAAGAAAGGAAAGTTTTGCAGTTTCATTTTTTCATTTTTTTTGTAAATACACAAATATTTGCAATGTTGTACGGCAACAGCACAAACGAGAAAATAAACCAAAAAAAAAAAAAAAATAGCACAAAATCAAATACGCAGTAACAAAATATCTTTGTGCATCCATTTTGCACCCCTAAAAGTATGTAAAAAAAAAATCTTTTTTTTTTGTTTGGTTACTGCTGTTCTCTTTCCACCCCTGCCATAATAATCTTCTTCATCTGTATTATATTAATGTTATTATATTGAGCAAGCAGAATGAAAAAAAAAATGAACATTATTGAGTTGCTTAGACACATACTTTTCTTCAGAAAAACCTACTTGTGAATGGCAAACTTTTTATATATAAAATGCTTGCAGTTTCTTTATTCTTCTTTAATTGTGTGTATTTGATTTCTCATGACAAATTCTCAAATAAAATTTTAATTTAATATTAAATTTTCTTTTAACTTGTTTTTCTCATTTTTTTTCTTTTGGTTTTAATGATATTCTCTGTTAAATTTGTTTTGCTTCTCTCTAACTCTGGGTACTCAAATATTACTCGTATATATAGATACAAGTACAAATATAGTTATTTCCAAAGAAAAAAAAGTTTTCTGCTTTCCACGTGAAATCAAAATGAACAGATTTTTATCTTTTATATTCAATTTTTGCTTTTTTTTCCGTTCATTTTGTATGTCGGATAAACTTTAATTTTTTGTTGACGGAATTTTCCATTTATATTTTAAGCATTATTGTAGACTTTCATTACATGCTAAGGTTACCAACCGTATAAGAAGATAATAACATAGAAAATATACCGAAAACAAAAATATATTTTGAAAAAACTGGAGAAAAAAGGCTTGACATTTTTTTCACATACAGCAAACATTTGTTAAAAAGCATGGAGTACACAATCGACTCTCGTCGGCAACCCCCACTTGTAAAGCCAAATGTCAACTATTTAGGAAATGCAAAAAACTCTCCCAATCAGCTACCGAAACCATTTAAAGCCAGCTAATCCTAACAAATGTTCATCCAAACCACTAAAGAACATTAGACCACCTCAATATGACACATAAACTTTAGATTTGTCGACAGCCCTATGCTGCTCCTAGAACTGAACTGAAAGATAAAATTATTTTGTAATTATGGTAACCTCATATAGAAAGAAATTTTTTGTAAATATACACCTACATTTCAAACTTATTGAATAATTCAAACAAAATGTGTATATACTTTAATAAAATCATTTATATACATACCTCCGTATATATGTGCATATATATAAAATATTCATGTATTTCTTCTTTTTGATTAAATTTATGTACAGAAAAATGAACATATGGGTATAAAAAATTGTATGTGATCTCTCTATTGTAATTGAAAATCTTTTTTGATTATTTTTAGCATTTATATCTGACTACACCTGCTGCTGCTACTGCTCCCTCTTTTAGCTGCTGTTACTGCTACTATTACTTTTATCATTTGTTATAATGAAGTTCTAAAGAAGTTAAAAATATCATTATGAAATAAGTTAATAAATGATGGCTTATTAACTTAATTATGATGTAAAGCGACAGAAAAAAAAATAAATTGAAATTATTATTGAAAGATGGTAAAAATAAAATAGAAGTTGAAAAATAAATAAATAAATGGTTATTTGTACAAAAACAAAAACATACAAATCTGCTTTAAGCTATTTATAGTTATTTTAAAGAAAAAATTTTATTTATATAGAAAAATTCATTGGAAAATTAAGACAATGAAAAATTTGCAAAATGTTTGAGGCATTTTTTCTTTTAAAATAAATTTATTTTGTTTTAAGACCCCCTCTTATGAATTATTTAGATTTATAAGTTTTTAAGGGAGTTTTTTAGCTACTTGAGGGTGGACAAATCATATTTACTTTTCATAAACAAATGGAAATACACGTGAATTTAATAAGAAACTTTTTTGCAATTTTGTTAATTGTTCTGACAATTTATGTCGAGATGTTGGTTACTATTTGGAAAATTAATTTAATTTACAGTTAAATTTTTGAATTAAGAACTTTTAATTCAACTCCATTCAAAAATCGTACTCATATAAATATTGAAATATCGATATTTTTCACCTGTTATAATAATTTACACAAGTATTTGCAAATGTTGTATTAAACATATAGATCTCTCGTGCTTTCGATAGAGCATAACGTTGTGTACTGTATGAAAGGTGTGAAAGAACGCCAACCTTCTCTGAATATTGAATTACAAAAAAGTTCATTACTTTTATTTACAATCGGGTGAGTTATGGGGAGCCTTTATTCAATTCGAAAAGACATTTGCTTTCTCATGCTGAATTATGATAAAAACTGCTGCATCACAAATATATCGATGCATTTTTGATTTTCTTCACTACATTACGAGTATATAACTATAAATTACAAGAGAAACTTGAAAAATATTTTAAATTTATTATAAAAATTTCATTAAAAAAAAATTCATTATCAAGATTTTAATTTCGACGTTATCAACTATGATATCACAAGAAATTTTCATTATTTTATTAATTATAAACTTTTTTTTAAATTATTTTTATGCTTATATAATTTCCCATTTCTTTAGTTTTTACTTGTCTACTGCTTTACTGTGAAATTAATTAATTTTTACCATTATTTTGTTGTTATCTTCAATTTTTTTTATTTTTTGCACAATAATAATTTAAATTTTACCCTATATATTCAAAATAAAAAACAAAAACGATTTTTTAATTTTCAGTTTATCAATTTCGCTATTTTGCTAGTGACCCAATTTGCCTGATATCTGACTTTAAATAAACGTATAATATTATGTACTCTTGTATATATGAACTTGCTTATTATATACACAAACTCGAATAATAAGGTAGATTTTTGATATACATACTTATAATTATATGCAGGGTAAATTTTTTTTTCTATAAATTTCCAAAGAAGACGACAAAATTTTCTTATGCAAATTTTTCATATTTTTTTTATTTAAACAACAAAACTCACTTATCTGCTCTAAATTCGTGAAGTTTAATTTCATAATAAAATTTATTTAATTTTTAAAGTTAAAATATTATTAAATTTAAATTGAAATTTTATTATTATTATTTAAAGAAAAAGTTGAGAATTAAATTTTAATATTTTCCTAAGATTGTGTTTAATTAATGATAAGATGTATGAAAAAAATTGTTTAACAAATTGAAAATTAATAAAATTTTCTTATTTTATTTTCAGATGAACTAAATAATTATTTTGAAAAGGTAAGTTTTTCTCTGGTACAATGAAAATCTTAAATTTTAAACATTTTAAATTTATTTTACCTCAAATTTTATGATTGATGACAACAATGAGAGCATAGTATTGCTTCAGCCGTTTTCTACACCAACATGCGATGGAATCCAAAAATTAAAGAAAACTATTCGGCATTTAAGACGCCGCCCCTACATCTCACATTTCTATATCACTAAATTAAATTTTTTTTCACCAAAATAATTTCCATCTGAAATCAAAATTAATTTTCAATTATTAATAAAATAATTTTTCTGTTTTCTCTTAAAGTATGACATTGGAAATATGGAAAATTTTATGTACCGCATTTTTAATTAAATTTTAATTGAAACGTCAAGTACAAAATTAATAATTTCATATAAATTAATGCAAGTGTGTATATGTAAGAAAATGTGTGATATGAAAAATTAAACTTGAACATTTTAATTGAAATAAATTTGTTTTTTTGCATTAAATAAAATGTAGTTCTTATACAAAATTTTATTATTTAATTAAATAGAAAATGCATAGTTACATTGGCGAGTTTAATATGTAGGTTTTTGGATTTTAAAAATCAATTCAAATTGGCTATAAGCGTAATGTATATATTAATAATAAAAAACATCGTTGTATCACTTAAAGAGCAACTACAATTATTTTGCTTTGCAACTCATATTTCTACTGCTACAATCAATATTAAAGCAATTAATTTACACTTAATTAATTTATAAAATTGATATAATTCATTTTCAGTTACATAATTTCAACTTTGCTATACAATAAAATCTATAAGCGATAGACAACGCCTATGCATCCGTAATAAATAAATTTTCACTGACTAATGTTTTGTAATACGTGGAATATATGCTATGAAATAATTTTGTTTTCAAGCTCTGTACTAACCCTTTGAAAAACTGTTTATTTTAAGCTTCTATCTTTTTCGGAACGGAATTTATAAGCAAAAAAAATTGGGCAAGTAGAAATTTTTTGAAAATTTTTTGAGATCGCTGTGTCTTTGGAAACGGTTGAGATTTGACGCCTATTTCTGAACAAAAATTTTACTCATTCTTGATGCTTTAAATGACGGTACATATTATGTCACTGATTATTGAATAACCCTGTATATAAGCCACCATTTTTAGTTTTTATTATCAATTTTTTAATTAAATATCAAATTTTGTGTACGATGACGTGTCATTACCGGTATGAGTGCACAAAACATATATGACAAATATATGACAAAACTTTGATGTGACATTTTATTTTAAATCATTTCACAGGGTGGTCTCTATTGCGAACTATATAAAACATTTGTACACTTTAAACGAACAGAAAATTCCTATAAAATTTATAATTTAAAAGATCCTATTGACATGAACCTTAAAATTTTTTAAATTCATTCAATTTAATTAAAAAAATTTAATTAACGATGATCTGAATAATCCCATTCAAAATAAATCAATAAAATGTCAAAACACAATCTGTGTATAAAAATTAACCCCTTAACAATTTCATGCATTTATAAAGGAAATTAAATTTCTCTATTATAAAAGCTAACAAATGAGATCACGTTTAACATGTAAAAATTATCGATTTTCAATTAATTTTTTTTTTCAAATAAAATTAATTAAAAAAAATTTAATTGAAAATGCGGTTTTATATGCGATAAGTGAAAATTTTATCGTCTTCGAATTCAAAAAAAATGTAAAATTTATCTTTAATTTTTAAAAATATTTTTAAATTGTTTTTATATTTAACAATATTACAAGCCTATAAATTATACTTTGCAATTTTTCGCTTTTATTTTATATATATATATTTTGTAATTTAATTATTAAATATTTTCAAATAATCAAAATCATAACAATTTACAATTAGATGGAATATGATAAATAAAAAATTAAACAAGCTTGTAAAAAAAATCAAGTGGAACCAACAATCAAGCATAACAAAAAAAATAAATTTTTATTGCATACAATTTAAGATGACGTCAATTGATATTTGCCGCATATTTGTATAAAGCTATAGTAGCTAGCGTAAAGTTATTAATTTAAACAACGATTAGATTTCTATCTAGATTTCTGACTATATAAAAGAAGAAAAGCTCATCATTTTCAATTATTACTCACCTTCATTCACTATTATATTATTGTGCAAAAATATTAATAAATACATAAATATATATATGTATATGTACATAGAAACATAAATATGATATTACAAACTTATAAGTATGTAAATAGTAAATATTTGTATATGTGCAAATATCTTATATTAAATTACCTTTTGTATAGCTACTATAATATCACCTATTGTTACTGTTTAGCTACTTTATATATGGAGGTATTTGTAATGATTGCTATCATAACAAAATATAAGCACGGCGACAGTGCAAATGAAATTGATAATTAAATAAAACAAAAATAAGAAAGAAAAATTATAGGCAAGCAATACTGCTGTTTTGACTTTATGACGTCAAAAAATTTCCAAGTTAAATAAATTTAAATATGGTAAAAAATAAATGAATATGCAAAAATATAATTAAAAACCTTTAGATGAATTTTAGGAAAAAATAAATAGTTAAACTGCCATAACAAGCTTAATTGTGTGTATTACACAACTTTACATAACTTTATATAAGTCAAGTTCACCCTATGGAAGTTATACCGCACACTATTAAAAAAATCATTATAAAAATAGAAAACTTGAACCGACACCAACATTACTGCTGGTAAAATATGAGAATGACATTTTTGACGTATTTCATTTGAAATGAAGATTTGATATAAATAGTTTGACAGCTACCTAATTCAATTCTATATTTGAAATTAAACAAATTTTTCTTGCTTCATTAAAAATTTCATAGAAATTTCAATAAAACTTAACATAATTAATTTAAAAATTGCTACAAAAGATTTTGGTTTCTATTATCCCAAATTTAGTTTAGTTTCTCTTAAGTCAAGTTCGAACACACACATACGTATGTATGTATAAATTGCCCGATAATAACATAAATATTGTATTATTACAAAATTATTTGACTACACGGGTAATGATAGCACAAAAACGCAAAATTGTTAAAGTTTGCTATTACAATAATGACTATAGCTCATAATACTTAAAAAAATTTTCCATTTGTTATACAATGAGCTCTAACAACAAACTTTTTTGACTCGTTTCTCATCCTTATCTCTTTTAATTCTTATGTTTTTCTCTTTTTTCTTTATTGTCTAGATTATTTTCTTTTTTTTTCCTTATACATAGATAATTATATTAAATTTTGCATTTTTAGACTTTTGACATTTTTGTTTTTTTTTTTTTCAGTTTTTGCGACGCGTTGCGCTCATCATTAATATTTATTTCGGTGACATTTGAAATTTGTATTTTGAGAAATCTTACAATTACGTTCGATATTATTTATCGAATAAATTCCGCGCACATTATAAGAAAGAAATCAAATTAATTTCTTTTTTTATATTTTTATTAAATTTTAGTTTTTTTTATAAAATAAAAGCTAAACGTTTAATCACGCAATCGTATAATTAATAAGAAATATGAAAATTAATATAGATTGTAATAAAAACGTTTGTGAAATGCTTAGAAAGGAAAAATATATATTCATTTTTTTTTGAATTGTTCCTAAAATGATCAATTAAAGCACGCAGATACAACTTTATTATTGTATACATAGAAATAATATGAGAATCATTCATAATGCCGACAAAATAAATTAAAAAACAAAAATTTAACAGAATTTATTTTTTTTGATTGATATTATAAAAAAAATGTAAGCACGGCAGTAAAAATTATCTCAAAAAAATTTATGCTTTAATATATTATAATTAAAAAAATATTTAAGAAGCTCGACTACTTCTGCACATTCAAAATACCCGGAGCTGCTTTTACTCTTAAACAGAAAACAAATTTTAAGCATAAAATAAATTGGTTTTTATTTTGAAAAATGAAACGTTTAAAGTTTGATTCATTAAGCAACTTTAAATTTTAAACTATTGTTAACATGTAGCAAGCGACAAATAATTCTTAAGTTCCAAAATACAGTAATACGGTGTTAACACACAATTCAGCAATTCACACTTATAAACTGAATACTTCATTAATTACAATAATATCTGTATTTTGAAAACCAAGGAATATTATCAAGGTTTTAGTTTTCTTATTAAAGAAAATTTATATATAATGAATTATTTAGTAGTAATTGTAATTTCAAACTTTTTTAATGAAGTAGCTCGAGAAGTAGTGAATATCATCCTCGTCTTGGATGATATTCAGTCAAAATTAATCCTATGAGTTAGGCTATAGAGATAGTATTATTTTAGCTGGAGTCTCATGTAAAATCCTACCTAAAAAAATTGTAACTTTCATACCCACACATCATATATTATGTTGGTTTACACTCATATATTTCACAAATAATAAAATTACTTTTGATAATATACTTACTTTTCAACTATAAATTGCGTAAATAAATGCTAATAAAATAGAATAATCATTTTACCGCCATAAAATTTTGTAAATAGCATTTTTCTCCACCATAATATGCATAATTTAAATGCAATTTAAATGTTATATAAAAAAACAAGTTGTAAAAGCAAAATTAAATTTTTCTTTTCAATTTTTTTTATGCTGATTTTAATAAAAACAAAATCGAATTTAGACCATAAAATCACAAAATAATAGACTTTTAAGTTTTTTTCTTCTCCATTTTGTTTTATTTTTTGTTTTTATATTTTCTTTTCAATATTATTTAAATTATGATCGCCATTGTTATTTAATTTAATAATAATATAATTTGTGATGCCACAATAAATTTACAAAATAATATTTAAAATCTAATAGTCGATGTTTTTCTTTTTTGTTTTTTTTTTTCTAAATAGAATGAAAATAAATTTAATTGAATTTAGAACAAAAATGTTCATTAAATTTTGGTTTTTGTATTTTTTTGTTTTCTTATTGCTATTTGTTCAATTGATAC